AAGGCTTTTTTGAAGTCAAGATATATGACATCAATCTCTTCTTCCTTGTCCAGGTGATAGGTCACCTGCTCATAGAAGGAAATGAGATTGGTCAAGCAAGACCTAGCTGTAACAAACCCCTGCTGGCTATCCCTCAGGATGTTGGCATCCGCTAGTCTATTAAGGATGGCCTCTTTAATAAACTTTTCTAAGACCTTCCCTGAGACAGAGGTCAGGCTGATGGGCCTATAGTTTGTCGGATCTACTTTCCTCCCTTTCTTGAAGATAGGCACCAAATTGGCCTTCTTCCAGTCTTTGGGCACTACACCAGAGCACCAGGAGTTCTCGAAGATCCATGTGGAAAGACGTAGAGCCACCTAGGAGGACATTCATTAAAATGCAAGGGGGCCAGAAGCCAGGGAAGAGACGGGTATAATTTGAGAATAAAGTAACTCGCCTTCAGCTCCACAATACAACCTAGAGAACAAGAAATCTACACTGATCTAAAGCCTGAGGGTAAGAACATGCCCAAGAACTTTGACAGGATGAATACAGATGAGATACCTCTTCCAGCTCAGACACTGCAAACACCACCTTCTCCAGAGTCTCCCCGTAAATCTCCAGGAACCTTCTGACTGTGCCTGAGAGAAAAGAGAATGAAACAGAGTCAGCAGAATGGGACATGGAAATCCACTAGCTCCCCTCTTCCCACAAGATGGCTTTATAGGCAGCAATTATGCATACAATAGACAGCCCAGCAGGCAGAGTTCCCTTCTTAGATGCTGCCCCTTCTTACTTTGAAGATATTGAGAAAGGGTGAAACTTTTGCATTGATCCCTGCTAGTAGGGGGCCTCTTAAGTTTGGAACAGTTCTTCCTTGTAGCTGCTGGCCCTTTCCTCCCTGGATTTGTTTTTAGGGGATGGGAGAAGAAACCAAACTGCCACACTAGGAGACAGTCGTGTCCTACTCCCTCCACTCCTTGAAAAAAATAGCAGCTGCAGAATTCAGCTCAGCAGAATGGTACTATTTTGCTCACGGCTCCAAATGGGGACTCACCCTGTGCACCCTCCTGGCCTGCTGGAAGTAGAAAAGTACTAAGAATGGGGGAAAATTTCAAGAAAAACTTTTAAAATTATAAACAATAATAAAAAATGGAAAGCACCAGAGAATTCCCTCTTTACTCCTTTTCCAAATTTTCCAAAGCCTTAGCCATGTTTGAGGATATGGTCAACTCTTAAGTCAATGTTAAGGGTCAGAAAAAACACTATTGTACAACCAAGCCCCTAAACAAGGATGTCCTTGTGCAGGTGCAGCTTTTGAGCTATGATCTAGCCAGATCTCACAAGTTGATGACTCAAATGGGAGAGAACTTGAAAAAGAAGTCTGTTTTTCTCAAAACTGTGAAGTAAATCAATACAGTCTTCCTTCAAGTAATGACAGTTTAGAGACAAGCAAGAGTGAGCAAGAGAAGGGGGGCGGGGGCGAGGAAGAGAGGGGAGACAGTGAGCAAGAGCATATTTCTAAATATTTCCTGCAGTGAAATCCTTGCATAACTCCTTTAAACTTGCAACATAGTATCTTAGGGGCAAATGATGCTCTCTGCTTCCACAGCAAATTGCACCATTTAGACTTGCAAAAACAACCACCAGGGAGGTCATACTGAAGGCTTGAATCAAACCTCCAATGTCCAAATATTGATTTTCCTCTCATACCAAGCACAAGCCCAAATTTCTCCATTAAGTAGCTTGGTTCCAGGAAGCAATTACAAGGGGAAGAAACTTTTATCTAGTCTGCTTCAATATTCCCTGCACAGTCTAATCCCAATACAAAGAAGGGGAAGTAACAGGTGAGGAAATAAATAGGCAGTTCTGGGTGGAGGGGAATTTCAGAAATAAAACAAGTCCAAGAGACTATTGAAAAAGATTTAGAGTGCAGGAATGACTGGCCAGTAGGGTCTGAGCACCTCACAAAGGAAATGCATAACATTTCTCGTTTTGTCAGATTCCTTCCATGAACAGCTCTCAGCAATTCTTTCCAACCTCAAGGTTTTCCAAATTCAGATGCCAGGCACATGAAGCTCTAAAGCAAGAATCATTCCAAAACAGAGCAACAACACTTCCACCCCTGTTAGAAATGCAGTCACATTATAGCATGAAGCTGGTTGCATCATCTTGGATTTGCCAATCTCAAACCTGAATATACATCTCTCTCTGCAGACCTGAAGAGCCGTGACAGATCCAACACACTGGCACCCCTCACCTCTACAGTACTTCCCCACACCTCCACTCTGCTGCTGTTTACATCCAATCTAAACAGCTCTGGGCTCTATAAGGTGCCCGTTCAGACACACTGACCTTTCATGCATTACTTACGCAGTGCTATGTGGGTTGCATCCTCTAGGGGGTAGCCTCTCTTCACTGAATTTATAACACAGAATCCCACTGAAGACATTGCCTGCTCCCTAAAGTCAAGAAGAGAGAAAAATCTAGGAGTGACTAGTGCCGGTGCCCCTTACTCGATTTGCCCCCAAGAATCTCCTCCCACATGGGTACTTATTTCTCATATCAGAGAGCTGTTCCCCTATAAACTCCCCTCCACATGCCCCCTCCACTGGAGGGCAAGTGATTGTAGATGGATGGTAATGCTACCAGAACAGGGGTGGGGAGGGAGAAGTTTGAGGGAAGGGTCAGAAGGAAAGAACAAATGCTCAGTACTGCAAACAAGAGAACAGCATTAGTATTTTCCTGCCTTTTCCACCTGCTGCCTGTAGGAAAGGGAGGTGTATTGCTTAAAAAAAAAACCAAAACAGAACACTAACAGAGGTCTGAGCCAGGGTAGTGACTTGGCACCTTCTTTTCTTGTGGGACTGTTAGGTCTACCAGAGGCCTTTTGGGTCCTTCACATAATGCTTTGCATAGAATAATTCTCTTTTTGTACTGAAAAGCTGTCCCTGCAGAGAAAGCCAGTCACCAGGAGAGGGCCAAGAAATAAGTGGTTCTCTGATGCACAAGATCAGAGCTTATGACCAAAAACTTTACAATGGCAACAATCAATTGCTTTTCAAAGTTGACTTTCACCTACTTCCACTGAAAGTCTAGTAAACCAAGTTATTTCTCTCTTGCTTTGTCTCAACATCCCTGCACTCCCAGTAGGAAAAACAAGTTAGACCTTTTGTAATCTAACAATCAGCTATTTTCAGACTATTGTAATTGAAGAATCCACCTGTCCAAGTTACTTTAAAGCAGTGATGCTCAAACTTTTGGCCACATGGGCCAGATTAGTGGTATGGGGCTGGATCAGCAGGGTTAGTGCCCAGATCTGACTTCATGCCACGTGGATTCCACCTTGCACTTCCTTTCTGGCTCTGTGTGCCTGAATCCCACCTCACACTGCCCCACTTTGTGCAATTGGTTCAGGTCCTGTGCCACTTTAACCCTATGTGCCCAATCTACCCTGCACGGCTATGCTGTCCAGCCCTTAGGATTCCCCACAGGTCTGGAAATTTAGCAGCAGGGGAATGACAATTAACACTGCCACCACTCCCCTACCATCAAACTTCTGGACCCAAGAAGAGCCCTGTGGGTCAGATGACACTGTTTTGCAGGCTGGATTTGGCCTGTGGGCTTGAAGTTGAGCACCACTACTTTAGAGTGTGAAATTTCTACCACAGGCCTGGCCTTGCCCATCAGTTTTGAAGCACATGAGACTCTTCTGTAGATCCAAGAGAACTTGCAGGGGAGGGGGCTATGGGAAAAAAGCGGGCTTAAAATGGAAACTCATCTACAACTTCACTTATAAGGCAACTGCCATTGCACAATATCAGACAGATCTTAAAATGGTCTGGGAAAAGTTATTCTGTTGTCTCCTGAGAAACACCAAAATTTCCTTTTCCTGAAGTTTTGATTTAGTGTTCACCATAGGGATTGCTGCAATGACAACAGCAGTCATGAACAGAGGGCTTTGATGAATTCAAAAACAAGGTACATACCAAACCTTTAATCCATTATAAATGAGTTCAGAAGCAACAAGAGACGAGGGACAAAATTATAAGCCACTCAACTATTTCCGATCGAAAAGTTCCATGAATCACGTTGTGAGGATATCAAAGAATCTTCTGCAAGATTCAGTTTATACCACATGAAGGAAATGATTTTCACATATTGTAGCTAGGCCTAGGGCAACTCTCTGTTGCAGGAGACTCATAGAACCATGTGCTGGGACTGACTCATGCATGATTTGCCTGCATCTCAGCTGTTTTTGGGCAGAACAGATCTTTCCCTCTCCAAAAATGTAGCACCCCAATATTGACCTGCTGAATTATTTTGGAGGTGGAATGGGAAGATAAGACTGCCTCTCTGAAGCAGTCAGTATTACTCCATGCCCAAATATGAAACTTGATGTGCCAATAACGTGATCTCCTATAGCAGACATAGCTGTGCCTATAGACATCTACACTGAGGACTGCAGTATAGCAGAGGCATACCCTAGCAAGCTTTCTTGGAACCAGAAGCAGCCTTACTGCAGCAGCACAGTATAACACATCTACCCTGCTTCTCGGCTGAGAAAGGAGCTCTACTGCTGCCAGACTGCTTTCAGTGCCTAAACTGGTCATAGTGCAGACATACCCTGTTTTCTGTTTCCTCAAAACCAATTGCAAACTGAAGCACAAAGCGAGGGAGCAGAGGACAGCAGGCCCAGGTGTGTGGTCAAACCCCTTGCAACTCTGCCCACCCCACAGCCCAGGATGATGCATGTTATGGGTGACCCAAACTGCCCTGCACTCACTTTGCAAGCTGTAGGACATTGCGGTAACAGCTGTACAGGGAGCTCTCGGCTGCTGTGCGATATCGACTCTTGTACTTGGGTCCCACAGTGTGAATGATGAAACGTGCGGCTAAGTTAAATCCTTCCGTCAGTTTTGCTTCTCCTGTCCGGCATCCTAAAGAAACACGGTAAGAGACACCAAAGGCTAGGTAGCAGGACCAGGAATACTCCAACACATCCCCCTTCTCCATCTTCAAAGAAGCTCCACCCTGGAACAACTCTCTCCTATCGCATTAGTACAGACAAGCATTCATTTCCCTGAGCCAACCCAGCAGCAGCCCTCTGCAAGGATAACTTCTGCACTCCAAGATGGTTTACTGCTCTGAGAATCCTCAGTCAGACAGGGGAGGTGAAAAACATTGCCCTTGCATCACTACTTCAGAAGATATGCACCCTAAGGAGCAAAACAAGATAGAGTCCCTAGGGACACTGTACTTCATATTCCTAATTCAAAGGCTGCAAGAAGGCTTTTCTTAAGCAGTTTATCTATTTATAGATGTATAGAAATATGAGATAGATGCACACATTACAGTTCTGAAAGTGTTTGGTTCGGGGGTTGGATAAGTAACTGCTGTTCAGAGAGACAAATCTGATTCTTTTAAGACCTAAAACACATTTTCATCCACTCCCTGGAGTATACTAGTTATTCCTTATGGGTTATTTTGAAGACATTCAGGGTTTGAAGAATGGAACTGTACTTCAGGAAGTCCACTTCAGTACGATAGATCAATAGAAGGGCAAGTGACTTTGTATTCGGGCTACATTTTCTATTTCTCTATTTCATTCCTTTCCTTCTAATCAAACCTGTGGTGTTTATATCCTTTCATCACTCCTTACCAAGTTATTTTTCTTTTCTTCTGAGGAGTGCTAGTTAGCCATGTTAGTCTGAAGTCAGACAGAAGGCAGGGTAGAGATGCACCTTATAGATTAACTGAAATCAGAGATGTATAAATTTTCATAAGAGCTACTTCAAATACTAACTTCTAATAAAGTGATCTCTCGGTCATGAAAGTTTATGCATCTCTGACATAGTCTACACTAGTGATTCTCAACCAGGGTATCGTGCATGTCACCCGGGGTTCCTTGAGATCCTTTCAGGGTCCCATGCAATGTTAGTGCTGTTAGGTGCGCAAACATGATTCACAAAACAAACAAAGGGGGCGTGTGAGATGAGATGAGCAGAAACATGTGGTTCCTTGGGGACGAGTAGCAGCAGCACACCTTGTGTCACTGCTGCTTCTTCTTGGGTAACGCCTGTGGCACATGTGCTCTGGCATGCAGCAGGTTACCCCGGGTGGTAGGGGAAGCTGAGGCCAGCAACTGTGCTGGCTCCAGCAGTTTACCTGGGGTCCTGAGGGCCTCCAGAGCTGAAGCCATGGCACTCTTGCAGTAGGAAGCTTGGCTAGCAGCTGGAGTGTGGCTCTGGCAGGCCAGGCTCTGGTTTTGAGTGGTGCACATTGATGCCATGTGTGCTGCCCCACCCTGCTTTTTTTTTGGCACGGGTTTTTTTTTGACTCCAGGATCTCCCCACCCTGTGCTGCAAAGTAGCAGTGCAGGGAACGCCTGCATGTGCAGTGTTGCTGTGCCACAGGTGGGGCTGTGACACCACATACTGCACATCCACGCTCGTCTGGATGTACCCAGACATTTCAAATAAGAATCTATAATGTTAAAACATTGAGTTATTCGCAACAGAAGAATTGCTCTATTATTTTTCTGTTATCAGAAAATGAGTGAGAACTAAGAGTTCTGAAAGGTGCCATTTTCTGAAAGGTGCCTTGAGTCTATAAAAAGATTGAGAATCACTGGTATGTAAGGTTGATCTCTACCATATTTTCTTCTTGTAACCTTTTTTGTTATTTAATTGTGGCCCCGCTCCCCCCACTCAAGTCTGTTCCTTTCTAAATACCTTCCCAATTTATCTACACATTTCTGACATTGAAGAGCCCTCCCCTAGCGGCACCCCCAGCTGACATCTGCCCAGCATGGAAGGGAAACTACCTAACCAGGGGGCTTTTCATGTGGCCATTCCCCTGCACTGCAGCTGGAACTTGGCTGGGATCCCCCAGCCCTGCCCCCTCCCAAGCCATTGAGGGGGAGGAGGAGGGGGTAGAAGCACACCACTTTTGCCCAGCACCAATCTCACAAGCTGGAGTCTGCCTGGTGTGGGAGGGAAAGCACCTGTCTGGGAGTTTTTCATACCC